GCATTCCGCTTCATTTCGCGGCAAGAATACAGCCTCATCTTGCCGCGATTTTGACAAGAAATTTGAAACTTAACGCGGGATCGATACCGCGACCATACCTAATCTTGCTATTTTTCCCTTGTAACGAAAATTTAACAATCTTGACGCGAAAATTTTTTGACGCGATCCCGCTGAAATCCTGCAAAGGTTGCGGCAGGATTAAAACGGGATCTGGACAAGAGCGTACCAAGATCCCGGTGTGATTAGAACCAGGTTGCAGGAAGGCTGAGCAAGCTTTTCTGCCACTTATCTGATTGTCACTACGTTCTTTCGATGGTTTAATCTCGTTTTCATCAAATCACCATGTTTTACTCGGTATTTTCTTCGAGAACATGAAGTAATTAGAGATTTTCTCCTAGAACACCATCTTCCGAGTACACAGCAATTTATTTTCTTTGTTTTGAGTTATAAACTCCATTTCATTTTAATGTCACAAAGTTGAACTGTTATTAATTTGCTCATCTAAAGTGGGATATTGTTTTTGCCGGTGAGAAGTTTCATCTCAGATGTATCTTTAAGTTCTTCATCGGTGTATTTTTTAGTTCTAATTCGAAACGTTACTGCCGTTGGATCTTAGAATAGAAGTGAGGGGGGGGCTGTCTTTGTGTTTTATCTGTGAGTTGTGCCAGTAAGGTAACGTTTGCCGTATGTGAAGAAAACATTCACTCTTGAACTTCCAGTGAACGTGTATCTGTAGATACTTGGGACTCGGACCAGTTCGTTGCTAGAGCCCATCTAGCGTCCTATGATTGAGGTGCTCTGGCTGTGCGTCAAACAGGATCGAAATAATCGTTGCTACATTCTGAAAGGCTCAAACGGCAAAGCGATCTTACACCGAGGGAACTCACCACCTCGTGTGCATTACTCTCACTGTTGTGCATTTTCATTCTGAGATTTCTGCACAGTCAGCATATTTAACTGAACCTACACATGGGAGAAGACTTTAGATGCGGTGCATTGTCCGAGAAAGAATATTCTCTTTCGATTCTAAAACTGCTAAGAAGAAAATAGTTCAACTTTGAGACAAAAAAATTAAGTTTTCTCTTCGAATGCTCTTCTTCTCTCGAAAATTGCTGTGTACCTACTGATGACAATAGTCAAATGGTTAGTCTACTATTGACTACAACAAAACCCAAAAAAACACTCGTTGCAAAAGGTTAAGAAATGACTAACTGACTTGTATTGTGTATCTATTATATACGTTAAAAGAGAACAAAGAATAAATACAGTGGACGATAATATACGCACACTGTCTGTCTGTTTTTTTTCTTCTATCAACGGATGGACGAAATAAAAGAACATTACATTGTTACAGACTGAGATAGAGGAAAATACGAAGTCAGTGTGATCCTAGTTTCGTGCAAGGATTGATTTTGTACTTTGATAGTTTAAGGAACAGAATGATATAATAACAAAAAGTTTTCCTCAACGGTGGACAAAGGAAAAATCTCCTCAAAATCTTGTCTCGAGTTAGACACAATCTTGCTATAATCCTGCCGCGATCCCGTCACTCTCTTGAAACACAAATGAAATGGGATCGCATAACGAACTTGATCAAGAACACGGTTACCATTATAAGATCGCGATTTTATTTTGCAAGGTCAGCATTTTTTTGTTACACGGGCAAAAATCGGGTTCGCGATCAGATCTCAGCAAGAATGAAACAGGAATACCACTAGGGATATGTCTTTTCTTACAGAACTCATGCACCTACGTGCATGCTATCGGCAATTTTCAATGATTAGGGCAAATCACTTGTTCGAGTTCGATTTTTGGAAGGCACATCAATAAGAGAAAAGGGCGGTTTGGCAAGAGACTTTTTTGGTGGATAAATACAGCACAACAATGCAATGATCTAAAAAGTACTAAGGCTACATGAACAAAACAGAAAATTGATCGTAGATACATACCGTCTAATGCTATCTTCCATGAGCATATCACTCTCAAATGTATCACCGAAATAATTTATATGTACAATAGCTCCACACCCACCTCTTTGGCAAAATCTTCCAATTCGTCTTGATACATCTTATTTTTCTTTCTAGAAAGAACACTCGTAATATATTATAGATACAGCAGTTTACTTTTTCTGATTACTTACGGAAAGATTATTTGTCGATGTAGCGACGAAGTGAATGGTTTTGAACAGTTGGTCTTTGTGCAGTAGCTATCACATTTATATTGTGGCGTTGTTACGTATCTTAAGACAGTTTCTTCCGTACTACCAAAAAGCTTCTATTCATTTTCATCGTTAGTTCGGGTACTATCGTTCAATATTTTGTGAAGTAGCAGCCAAAACAACCGAGCATTAACGCAGGCATTTTCTTCTACTACGTTGAAGGCTTTATGCAGATGATCGTGTGCGATGATATTGCGTTCGGTTTGGATAGCTGTCTGTGATAATGGGCGTATTGGATACATGACATACAATAAAAACAGACCACAATCTGGAGCACAGGTGTTAAGTACGTGATAGCACGATTGCCTAGTCATTCCGTCCCGAATACCCCACTTAGATCAACGAATACTGATGCGTAACAAATTGCTGGTATACGGATAATTATCAAACGGGGTTACGTGCAGTGTTGTGGACAATACTGTATTAGGTAATGGTGGCTATTGCCGTTCGCCTTTGCTCGGTATAGTTGTCGGTGCTTGTAATACGAGATCGCGATGCTGTATCTGATGTTTGGCCGGCGGCATTTAGTGTTCCTTCGGCTACTTGCTGTGCTGGAACTACTATCCTGTGAGGAGTTATCCTCTTCACTTTGCGACGATGACTGTGTGAACTCATCCATAGATTCGGGTTCATAACTATCAATAGAAGCATCCAATACCAGAAGAGACTCCAGAAGTGCCTCAACCGCGGTGTCTGACGGTTCTCCGAATATTTGTGTAATTGCTTTGAACATATTGAAAGTAATGGACAGCTTATCAGCACTTCCCAGTAAAGCGAGCATGTGTAATGCCGTCTTCTTTAAATCTTTATTAATACGACTAGCAGTCAGACTTCTCGAACAAGCATGCATCACATGCGCGCTGCAAAACCTGGCAAAGGTAATGACCTCAATTCCTTTGAAGTATATTTTCTTAACAAAACATTCTAACACCCTCGGAGATATCTGTTAATCTCCTCCGTGTTAAATGTGTTTAGAATCGAATTTAGTAGCGCAGCTAAAAATTCTGTAACTATAAATGCTGGTCGGCTAAATTTCCCCGTAACGGTAACAATACATTTTCTTACTATGCTCAGAAAGTAACTGATACCAGTAACACTATGATCCGTTAGTACAGCGGAGACAAGTGGGAGTAAACGCGTTAGTTTCTACAAAAATTTAAACGCACTCTAACGCGTGGTTTTCGCAGAAAAGTTTGCCTGGGTAGTCTATTGAGTGACATAGCAAACAAATTGTAGCTGAATTATACACTCCATATGAGTTCATAACGTATTTTTGATCGGTTAGTTTCAGACTCGTCAGCGAGTTTGTTTTATTTTCCTTCTTTCCTCCCCTTTTTCTCGTTTAATCACAAAGGACGTTCTTTCTTCTCTGTTTCGCGCTATAACTAGAAAGATTGCGTAGGTAACCGATGCACAGAAAGAAATAAAAAGAACGAGAGAGAAATAAACAAGCGTTCGAATTTATTATTATTATTTTCTTCCACCGTTAACAGGGAAAGATGATTACTGGTTACATTGTTTCTCCTTTGTACAAAAGAGGCAACGTACTGTTTTATGATCTTGAATTTATTTTTTAAAACTAGTTTACTAATTATGAAGAGAAGATCTCAAGCGACATACACATGAGAATAATGATTTATGTAGTTTGAGGGTCATATTAAAATATGTTAAATGATTGCTTTCTAATTCAATTGCCTCTGTCAGTCTGTTATGTCCAGATAAAACTGTTTCAGTTTGAAATCACCCGTCTCATTTGGAGTGGGGCAAGCAGACCAGATGTTGTTTTCTATCCTCTTGTGTATAAGCCAAGCACTAAAAGAACGTGAAGTGGGCGCTTGTACCTACCTGACCCTATTATTAACTCATCAAAGCTAGCTGAGGCGTATTAATTGGGCGCTAATCGCTCAGTTAAGTGCGCACTGCATCGCCCGCTTGGAGCTAGCAAGTGGGCACTTGTTCTGCGCAGCTAGCTATTTGTCGCAAAAATCTACTCTTAAGCGGACGCTTGAGCTATGTTATAGGCGAGATTTCTTTGCTTACTCTTTTTTGCCTGGGAGTCTAAGACCTTGAAAAGTAAATGTGATTTGAGGAAGAAAATAAACATTACCACGATGATCAGTGGTGTCGATAACCTATAGTCCATTTTTCTTTGTAGTTCTCAAGCCAGAGCCGTGAAGGATAGGTAGGTCCGGGAAAACCTATGAAAGTCCTCAGCCATTGGGAATGAAAAGCTGGATGATGCATAGCTTGAGAGGGGACGTTCTGGTGGTTCTCGGTGACGTCTCGGAATGCAAAAGTCACTGTTTGGCCTAGAAGCGGCATGCTCGGACATTTTGCTTGGAATGACTTACTATGGTAAACCTAGTCTGAAGCCTGAATTTTTTCTTAGGTCTACTTCCCAAACTGTTCTTGGATGAATACTAAAAATTGCAAGGTTCTAGCTCTTTTCGGCGAGAAGTTATTCAAAAAATATCGGAAGCCATTCTTTTCTTGAACGGATAGTAAATGAATATTTAAGGGTATTGAACCATCGGTTTTTCTCGAAGGCAAATATATGCTTCAGCCTAAGTTGATCTAGAGCGAGTTTAAAGACAGCAGAAGAAAAATGAAAGGAATTACAAAACATCGGTCAAAGTTGAGTTTCTAGAGGCAAATGTGGATACCTCATACGCCGGGAGCAGACGACTTGTGAATTGGCTGACGACTAGACTCATTCCATTGAGAGTATTCAAAGGATGGACCACCACATCCTAGTCAAATCTTTCAGAAAAGGTTCAAGCGATTATGTGATTGTGATATTAGCATATAGGTTTTGAGTGCCCCACGGACACTGTAGCCAAAAACCAATTATATAACTCACATTTGTACGAGTTGAAAATGTTTGACTAAGACGTTCAGAAGCACCGGTAACACCATCACGGAAAGAATAAATGCCCGTATGCGCATAAAGTGATGAAATCCTGCCGGAAAGAACCGAATTGCCTGAACGTGTTAGCGTCCATCCAGTCAATGCACCCAATTCAAATCCTCCGTTCACTATTAGTTCACTCGCATCTTTCACTGACACATCGTCTAAATACCAATATGATGGATCATTACGAAATTCAAACGATAAGGTTGAGAAGTTTTTGGCTGCCTGATAGATGAAACAATAATAGGCAAATTTAGTGGAATAATCTGTCGTGAGATAGAGTAGAGTTGTCTCATTTACGATCGAACATTGGTCTTGAACTGAAAAGTCCTGTCGTGTGAGTACAACTGCAAGAACAATTATCATGACGACAGCTACGATACACGTTATGCAACATACACATCGACAACAACTGCTCTTGTACCATTTTCGTCTATGCATTAGTGTAGTAGGCTCATCACTTGAATTTGTTGGATAAAGGGGTGCAACACGATTTGATCTCACAGAAGGCAGCGAAGCAGCTCCTAAATATTGGATAGTCGAGTTAGATAGCAGTCGCCTAACATCGAGCGGTTGTCGGGTCATGGGGCTTGTTCCATTTGACTGTAAAACCCATTTTACAATTGCCTCGCGTTCGTATGTATGACCATCTTCGACCGTGACAGGATCGCGAATCGGCTCCAGTGTAATGGGACATACTGAACGATCGGCCGGCGAGCCCGGTCGCGTCAGCGGAAACAGCATAGAAGCTGAAATTGGTCTGGAGTTAGCAGCCATCGTCTTGCGTCGCTTCTGCTAGTGTTTTTGCAAACTTCCAAGTTTTCTCTTCATTCCTTCCTTTCTCCGTTTTTGTATGGCAACATATAAACAATAACATTCTGTCTTCGCAGAATCGAAGAATGTGAATGTGTAATAATTGTAACGCAGCCTTTCTTTTCGACAACACGTATGGGCACATGTAAGAAACAGCATACTATGTCATTTTCAGAACATACAGTTTCCCAGCAAAACAGGGCCCTTTTCAATAAATTAAAACACTAAGAAGTTAAAAAATGTAGAAATTTAGAAGTTTAGACGTCACGTAATGATTAATATTTACTTCTGGCATTTTTCTTTGCAAAATGTAAATATCTAAATGCCTACATTTCTAATTATGTAAATAGTCCAAAAGTTTTGCACTTTCATATTTTTATGCTACTTAGATATTTAGATATTTACCTCTTACAGTTTCCGGAAGGTGCGAGAAGGACCGAGACATTTCAAGGGCAGTGCCCGATATCTTGCAAATTGAGATATCTAAAATGCTCGGGATATTTGTGAAACAGACGAGATCCGTGTACTATTAGACATGCTTGCGTAATAGTCGTGATATTACTGAAATACAGGAAATATTAGTACGGCGCACAAGATATTAGTAAAATACAGGGAACATTAGCCGATTGCCCGAGATACATAGTATGGAAACTTTCCCTTTACTGCAGAGTCATCAGAAACAAAATCTACAAAATTTGCGGTAAAGTAGCAGATTGCAAACTGCAGAATTGAAAGATCAAGTAAAAATCGTATGGTAGAAGATAAGAGGCAAAACAAAGCAGGAATTCAGTAAAGCAGGAGTTTTGACTTCTTTTTTCATTTTTGAGGTTCTCTAGACGATATGCTTTGAATATGCATAGACTGAGAAATGTACTGTTAGTGAGGCTGACCGATGGTAGTTTATCCTCAGGAATAGGTTAACTACCATCAGTCAGTTCGAAATTTGACATTATAAATATAAATAACAATGAAGTTCAAAAGGCATCTGAAACTTTAACCTCGAATAAAGCTTCTAGTACCTGTGTACGTGTTCGTGTTGTACGATTTCATATGCTTTGAGTCGAAATCGTGCTCTTTCGATAATTTCTTTGCTTTTGCTGCGATTTATACTTGGAATGTTAGAAAAAGCTAAAGTTCGGATTCAGATGATTTGTCTAGTGTTAGAACCATATCGCTGCGAAAAATTCACTTTAATTTCATAGCACTTTCACGCTTCACTTTCAAAGCACTAAGTACACTACACTCTAAAAGAAAGATATTTCAAAAAACCCTAAAAAGAATTTTCTATCTGAGAACAACTAAAAATAAGTATAACCATCTGTGAAACACGTTCACGAACAGATATCATCGTGAATGATCTCACATTTTCCCATATCACAAAAAAAGCTTTCAGGTGTTTTAAAATACCAAAGCAATTCAGGGCTTTTTAAGTCACCGTATTTTAAAATATCTTTTTTTTAGAGAGTAGCTGCTTAGCAGCACCATCTACTATCCTCGCGATGTTGTGCGATGCTCAACTCGTTTATTTGTTTATGATCTTTCTTTAAATTCAATTCTGATTCAGATACTCAGAATTCAGAAGAAAGCAGCGCTGATTCAGAAGATTAGGACCAGAATAAAGCCTTTTTCTTTACTGTCAGTGTGTTTTTAACTTGAGCGCCATGCATAGCGCTCATCCAATGAACTGAAATATTTTTAGAGTTTTTCTAACCCATCGAGTCTTTTTCTAAACCTTTTTGTATCTTCCATACATGATTAAAAGGCATGAGAAAGAAACGAGTTGAGAAGACTCATATGAGGCAAAAACGCACAAGAAAAGCAACAGCAGACTAGTGAGAGAAACCAGCAAAAAACAGTCAGAATCATGTGATTTATACGTAAGATCGTATATGATCGTAAAAAATCAGACACGATCTTATGTAGATCTCATAAGATCAGCTCAGATCGTGCGTGCAATTGTTGTACGAAACGTATAGTCTGGATCCTGTGACTTTTCAGAGATCACGATTCGGACGTCGATTGTACCATTTCGTATGTGTGAGTTTGTACGATTATTCCAGATCATACCGGTCAGTGTACGATGATACAATAACATCGTATCTGAGCATATCCGATCTTGTATGATCCGCTCCAGCGATTCTTCGACCTGGGGATGAAAAACTATACTTATTTCGTGGACTTTTTCGTTTTTCAGCAACACAACTTCATCGAATGAAAGTTACGAATTTAAACAAAAACAACTGGGTTTTTTTACACTCTTCTTCTGTTTCCACATTGATTATGTCATTGAATGTTTTATTCATTATTCTCACAGATTAATCTGTAAACAAAATTATGGAGAGCCGGAAAAAAGAGTAAGAGAAACAGTTCTTTCAAGAGTAAGTCTGCCAAAATGCATTTTCTCCAGCAGGTGATTTTCTTTTATGCGTTGTTATGATCCATGCCTCTCTGATTTGTCCCAACTCGACTTCCGAAACTACGCTCACGGCAAATTTCGAGCGCAAGTCTTGTCATCAAACTAAATAAATCCCTATAGTCATTACGTCCAAGTAAAAGTGCGTTGACCGTAAACAACTGCTCTTGTACCATTTTCGTCTATGCATTAGTGTAGTAGGCTCATCACTTGAATTTGTTGGATAAAGGGGTGCAACACGATTTGATCTCACAGAAGGCAGCGAAGCAGCTCCTAAATATTGGATAGTCGAGTTAGATAGCAGTCGCCTAACATCGAGCGGTTGTCGGGTCATGGGGCTTGTTCCATTTGACTGTAAAACCCATTTTACAAGGAACTTTAGGACCATGGCTCTAGTCTTCTAGATAAGCGCTGCTTGCTTCTGAATTCTGAATGTCATAATAAAACTGTCGCATGAAATAATCATAATTCAATTTAAAAAGAACCGAAATAAAGGGGTTGATCATTGCACACATTCACACATAAACCATGTCGCTATAGCATAATGATTATAGCGATATGTTTTATCAGTTCTATTCAAGTTTACGATATGGCGACATGTTTTATTAGTTCTATTCAAATACATGTTACAAATAAGTTACTCAAAAAATGTTTTTCACTAAATGTCCGCGTGATAGAAAATAAATTGTATCTTTATTTACTAATGGAAATTTATTACATCAAGTGTATATTTATAAATACTTGAGTTTTACACTAGATCAATCTCTGTCTTTCGCATCCCATGTTAAGGATGCATGCCTCCGTGCACGTAAACGTCAAGATGTTTTCTATTTCTTTTTACTTTGTGTTTCTTCTCCTTTCCTTGTATCTTTAAACATGTTGTAACTCTCTCTAATTTGTTTTCTTTTGTCGTGAAAGCCCCGGTCACGTGTTGCAATAAATTATCATCATCAGTAGACGTTGGCTGAAATAAGAAAACACGACGAATACTTTGTGGCCTTAAGTTGAGATTTGATTCTTATCCAGAATCATATAAAGAGTGAAGAAGAGATAGGTATGTATATGTATCAGGACTGTAAAAGTTCCCGTTACTTCTTCGGCCGTTATCGACAACGGTAACTAGAAAAACAGTTGCCGTTAAAGTAACGATAACTGTCTTTCCAGTTAGCATTTAAATAACGGTAACTATTAGTTAGTTAACTTTATGATAACTGTTTCTTTCTCCTTATTATCCTGGATTTCTCATAATCATATTTTGAAAATTTAGGCTATGAAAATAATCATATACGCTAACGAGGGAACGTATCGAGATGCCCACTTCCGTTTTCAATGATTTATATTTCGATCTAGAGAGGATATCGGACTAGTAAAACCTCTAAAAGGATTTTGGCCCACGGTACTTTCAAACGTGTTCAAACGTTACAGCGGTTTTTCTATTTTTCTAAGCAGAAATACGGAAAAATTAAAAAATTCATAACTCTGTCAATAAAAGTAGTTAAGAGCTCAATATTTTTTCTACGGCTCTTCTATATTGTGATATTCACAAAAAGTTTTAGCATTACAGCGCATTCCATTCAGAGTTATTGAATTTTTAAGTTTAAAAATAGATACGCCCTTTGATGGGCTCACAATAAAATGGCTTCAAAAATCGTTAGTTTTCCACTAAAACTGTTGAAGCGTTCATAAATAACATGGTTTTGATTGGCACACACTTGTCAATCAACTAAACTAATCGAAATTATATAACTTTAATGTTTTGTAACTGCGGTTTTTAATGAGGTGTCTGGAGATCTCAGCAGCTACAGCCAGCTTGGGAAATCTCTTTTGTTTTCATCAACGAAATTAGACTACAAAACCATGTCATATATGAAAGTTTCAACAGTTTTAGTGGATAACTAACGATTTTGGAAGCCATTTTAAGCCGCTGGGTAGATATTCCTGGCACAAATAAAAACTAGTTACCATAAAGTTAACTAACTGATAGTTACCGTTATTTCAACGGTAATTAGAAACGCAGTTACCGTTAAAATAACGGTAACGGAAAACACAGTTACCGTTATTTTAACGCTAACTGAAAAGACAGTTATCGTTACTTTAACGGTAACTAAAAGAATAGTTAGTGTTAAATCAACGTAACGGGAACTTTTACAGCCCTAATCTGTATAGTGACGCCGGAAAGCGAATATAGTACTATAGTACACCACTGTAAAAATGTATAACATCTTTACCATGCGAACGAGTGAAGTTTCAAGCGATTCATTGATCGTACAGCGTTTAAAATGGTAACCCACTAAAGAGAATTTTTTGAAATCCTGCGTTGGCACGCAGGGGTTTGCAAAAATCCTTCGGATTTTAGTTATATCCTGCAGGTTTTAACAACAATTTGCCCTACCGAAAAATCATCGTGTTTCGAAAGATTATTTATTTATTAGGCTGGCAACAACACATTTAAAACAAAAATAAAACATTTCTTCTTTAGTTCATTCTACTGTCATCAGAGGAGGGACAAGTACAAGTACAGTAAGTACTAGTACAACTACTTGTACTTAAAGAATGTACTTGTACTTGCAATTGAAGTACATTTCAAGTACTTCAAGCACTTTCTGAGCACAGCACAGGTATAAGTGTCCCTCCTCTGACCGTCATACTGTTTAGGCTTTCTTGGAATAAAATATCTTTCCTAATACAGGAAAATACAATAGTACCATGCTTTTTAGTATGAAAGTAAAGATTTATGCGAAAAGTAACTAAGAGACAGTCCTGATCACATTAGAATTTTAGTATTACTAATATTCAGGACAAAGTTTTCGCTGTTAAAATAGTTATTAGTTTAATTCGGAGAATACTTCGTTTTTGTTAGAGGTGAACGTCGTCGTTTCCTCGTTGATAATGTGTTTGACCGATGCATTGATATCATATATGTTATATAGTTTTGCCGAAAACATGTATGCTAGTTGACATTCTAAACATAGTATGTGCTGATGCTATTTGTTGATTGCAGACCAGCAAATGGCATCAAACGAACTTCTTCTATTTTACCATAGTTTCGAGTACTGAACTTCTTTTCGCATAAATCTTTACTTTCATACTAAAAAGCATGGTACTATTGTATTTTTCTTGTATTAGGAAAGATATTTTGTTCTAAGAAAGCCTAAACAGTATGACAGTAGAATGAACTAAAGAAGAAATATTTTATTTTGGTTTTAAATGTGTTGTTGCCAGCCTGATAAATAAATAATCTGTCTAAACACGACGATTGATTGTCTTTGAAGAAGTACAAACAGTTAGAAAAGAAAACGAAGCTTGAGATATCGAGTACTTTAAGAGAAAAAGGGTTACTCCACGAAATTTTCTTCGTAACTTCATTGTTTCTCATTCGTTGTTGACTGAAAAACTTGATACTAATCAGGATAGTAGAACCAATCATCCTCTACAACTATATATAGCAAAGCTGGTATAAAATGAAATATACTATAGTATCTGCAAAATAGAGACAGGAATATATTTTGAAACGTTCTCTAAGAATATTCGGACAAACTCCAGAGCCGAACAAAAGAACACTCATTTTCATTTATATAAAAACAAACTCTTTCTTTTAATTGTTTCGGTTTGATATAAATAAAATCATTTTAATCCGGTTCACCGTTGCATGATTTCAAACATTAGAAAACGCATCTCATTTTAAACATATGTTTAAAATGTGTTGAAAGAAGCCTTTTTCTTTCAGAATAAAATTTCCACAGGACTTTGCGCAGAAAGCCTACGAGTTGTGTGTGTTAAAGTATCCGGCGATGTTTCTTACGTTTATGCAGGATCTTTTCCATGTTAATCCTACATAAACTACGCAGGATTTCGTCGTGGCCTGCGTAAAGGTAAGAAACATCGTCGGGTATTTTTACACCTTTTTACCGCAGACTTTTACCGCATTTCTTCCTGAAATCTTTAACCCTTTACCTACCATAGCGGTTCCAGAAGAGCCACTAATAAAATCCCCACGCGAATAGAGTATTGGTCTCCCCAATATGGCAATAGTATGAACAGATCGACTAGGCGGACTGCCCTTTGTGTAGGTAAGTTTGGTCATTCCGGTGAACGTTGAAGTACGGAGGGAGCAGAACGACTTGAAAAGATCCAACTTTTTCCCTTTTATGAGTGTTGATTTTGCCACAAATGACAACTGTTTTTTTGTTTGACTAATATGCAGAAAGGAAAGCTGATTACATGAAAAAATATTTTCTTAAGAACACATGTATTTTGGACAGACCTTTAGAAAAAAACATCTGGCTTTATTTAAGTATTTAATACCATCCTTGAAAAAATTTGATCGCTAATAAAATATTGTTTCAACTTCTAATGTAATAAGATGTTAAATAATATATGTATGATCTAGGTCATTCTCCGCCTCCTCCAGTAGTCACTCCAGCGTCCATTTTATATTTTACCATCTCCTATCCGCCTATCTCTTGTGAAACTTTCGAAACGCACTTAATTCACTAGTAGACATTTTCGTCGATATGTATAACACAGCAGGTCGTCAAGATGTTTATTACCTGTAGGTATAAAAAGAATTTTTAAAAAAGTTTTCAATTTTTCAAATTTATCGAATTTGTAAATCATATATTCCAGAGACAGAGCACCGAAACAAAATATTTTTTCTACCAGTCGACAGCTTATGGAATTATCTTGCTCGAAAAAGCAATCCATTTTTTATCACATGCTTCATTATCTTTTTACAACAGTTCTACGAATGGATCATGGGTGATCCTTCGGTAGGTAAAGGGTTAATGTGGGAGAGGAAAGGAAGCTCTCAAGATCGAGCAATATCAATCGCAATTTTGCAGATTTCACTTTAAATCTATTGTTCTACAATCAATCTTATGTTCAAGCTTCATGAAGAGGGTAAGACAGCTTTCTGACGGGGAAGAAAAGGTTGGATGTACAAAATAACGTACTTGCATCATGCATCCCTAGACGATATCCTACGCACTTTCTGCCTATTTTCTACAAGAATTTTAACATTTACGACATCTACAGTCTAAATATTTGGATCGTACTAGGAATTCGCTTCGTTTTATGTAAAATCTCACAAAATTCGACGACTTTTCGAATGTCCCTCATTTGATTATCCCAGGCAAAAACTGCCTTTGAGAAAATTCTAGATGCATTTCGACTGTAATCGAGCGATGCAATAATTGTCATCTAGGTTACTAGTTGGAAAAGGGGCTTTCAACTAGCTGCGTCTGCACGTGCAGCTAGCAATGGTTAAATCGATCAATTATTGGGCAATAAATCGACAGCTGCAACCGAGGAGAAAACTATCTATCGCCCGATTGCTTGATTTCTACTGTCGTTACGAAATAATTGAAATCGAGTAAAAATCCAGTAATCTAGATAAATCGGACGATACTCGATTGTTTTTGATGCCTTGGTAGGATTTCGTTAGGATCCTAAGCGTCCTTAAGAGAAAATTTAAGAGGATTCTGGTAAGCTGTGTTCAAGGTTGTGCTAGAAAATTCATTAGTCTTTTACTAGGAATATGTGTATATTTAGTTTTGGCACGGAAACCGTGTTCGAGAATAAATAAATTACATTATAAATATATATTAACAGCATTATTTACGTAATTATTTTCAGTATGTCTAGTCTGTGCACACTTCTGACACCATGCAGCCAGGTTTCAAGGCGCATTCGATGTCAAAATTGTGGTAATCAAATGAATCAAGTCAGTTGGAAACAATGTTTAATATGCAAAACGTTTAATTTATGTGATGAATGTGCATTACCAGATATTGAATTAGAATCTGCAGCCATTGTTTATCATACACAATTACACAAGAATATTTGTTAGAATTTGTTGACGATGTTGAGCAAGATAACAACGAAACTTGCAATATAAATGTTAATCGTGTTAAACGCGAAAAGGTATTGCTTATTGCTGCTTACAACACAACAATAAGTAGTATTACTATGTTTAATACAAGTTATGCTAAACATTGGCACTATCGTATAGCAGATGTATTAAAGGCGACAATGGCTGCTCCTACATATTTTCCACCACATAAGATGCATACAGGAATAATTGAAAACGGTCATTTCGTACCAAATAAACATCATAAAATATATATTGATGGTGGTGTATTCGCCAACGATCCAGAATTAATAGCAATATGGGCAATACGAATGCAATGGAAAAAAATGATCAATTATCATTTACTTTCTATAGGTACAGGGCACTACGTTGACGACTTATCAGCCACAAACGAGGGTGGCTATTTAGGATGGATATTCAACAAAGGATTACTTGTTAATACACTCATGGAAGCTACACGTAGTTTTACGGAAATAATTACGAATGATTTAACTAAATCCAATAATATCAAACGGATGAAATTTAATTTTAGAATAAAAAAATCTATGGAATTAGATGATCCGAATTTTATCTACGAATTCGATAAGGAATGGAAATTTTTGAAAAATGGAGAAGATTTTCAAACATTAATGAATTTTTATGACAAGTATATTGATATGGGACCAAATTAAAGTAATGAAAATGTTATACATGACCTTTAGGTGGCTGTTACGTAATTCTCCCCATCAAGGAGAGCTGAAAAAATATTGGATTACCAATATATTTTAAATACTTCTAAACTATGAGAGATCTTTCGAAGAATCTATTCTCTTTTCATTTTATTTCTTAGACAGAAGGTGTAAAGCGTTTTCATTTCATTTCATTTTTAGTAACGGTCTATGTATTGGAAAGAGTGTTCGCTTTCTAAAAAATTGCGTTTTTTTGAAACTAAAGGCAATAAGGAAGGATATTCCAATCGGGATGTATTTGATATTTTTACAGCGGAAGAAATTTCTCCTATATCCCGATCTGCTATAGATTTTTGAGTGGTTACTTTTGTTTGAAAAAAGGTCGCTGACAGGAAAAAAGAATCTAGTGTAATTTTTTCATCTCTTTCTAATGGTGATGCCAAAACTTTTAAAAAACAGAAAATTAAGCGCTAGACATAACATAACTGAGTGTAATCCCTTATGTGGTGGTCTTTCTCATTATATAACCACACAATGCATCGACCGCAAACTTTACTAGGTCGTGTTATTTTGAATTAATGATGTGTTCCTGTTGACCATATTACTTCGTCCATCGAATCGTATAGAACAACATTTCCATCATCTTCTACTAACAATTGATATGGACTCTGTCCTTTCCCTTGTGTATTTGTTGACCAGAAACTATGATAAGCATCACACAAAGCCATACTTCCATCTTCTGTTATTACCAACCGCGTAGGACGAAGTTTTGCTTTTTTCCATGTATTCGATGTCCATATTACTTGTGCATTTTCCGATGGAAAATTTTTACAACGATATAATACCAAATTGTCATCATTTTGTAATTTCAAATGATAAAGTTGATTTGGTGATGAAAGATAAGAATTAGATTTCAGTACAGAATCCATACCAAGACAGTTGCCCGGCATCCTTTGAAACAAACAAAAAAAAGTAGGTAAAGACGAACACATTAAAAGAATAAATGAGATTGAAATTATGCCTCTCACAAGTTGAGTAGTCAACTTATCTGAAATATATTGTGGACCAAAGGCACATAATAAGTGAGACAATCGAGAAAAACTGTCTTGTTTAGGCGTCTCAGTTAGTATTCTAACTTGGCAAACAGACTTGAACTAATTCTAAAGAAATTTTTTCTGCATTTTGTGGAAGTGTTTCTCAGCTATCTATACAAAAAAATTCGCGAATATATAACTTTTTGTTATTGAGAAAGAAGACTCTTATTGTATCTCAACGTTGTGTCATCTATCAGATGGATAACTAATACTGTCTGTCTGTATAACCGCTGAACTTCAAAATTGATTTGTATTTTACAGAAGACCATGTTTGTTTTCGGAATCTGTGTGAATTTCAAATTAAGATTTGTTATTTCATTCAGGCGACTTCAATCTTTAAACATGATACGAGACATATCCGAAAAGTGACATAGGCTAAAAACTTTTCTGGGCCGATTCCTGATCTTAGACTTATCTCTCCTTTAAAAAAAGAATTCATGCATTGTAATTCATAACGTGAATTACAGCGACTTACGCACTCTCTTACCTGTATGTCTTCGAAATTATCTATAAAAGTCCACCAATTATTAAACTATTATAAAGTCATACCAGTGAGTTTGATGTAAGCTTATACGAGTTTAGACACCGGACACACGCAAATCTAGCTGAGCGAATATTTAGGCCGTTAAGAGTATTTTCAGTTTTCCCTCAGATCAGTGATTATCAACGACTATTAAGTGTGTCCTTTCTCTCATAGCTTCGCATCATAGCTTCGTACCGTGCCCTCTATACTTCATTTGAAATTTTCGTCGATCTCCTTCATATGCATGCATCTGATGACAATAGTCTGAAATAATTGTGTGCTCTCTAGGGATCCCAGATCTTCTGATTTTTGAAACTTTTTCTGCCTCTTTTCTCCTCTTTTCTGCCATAAGGTCTACTGATTTTCTACTTCTTTTTCTCAGGCTTTCTGGGATCCCTGGTCCTCTCGACGAACGCTCAATCATCCTCTGCAGTCAGAGAACATTTATCCCTTCCTCGACGATGATGGATGAGAATGATACCACATACTGTGTCAAACTAAACTTACGTGAAGTCTTAACTTTCTTTGTGAATTTTCGTCGTCTATCTAGCGGCAGTCTGATGCTTTTCGGACGCAGACTTTCATCTGGACGGTAGAACGTGCATCACGAATTGCGCTCCATAGCGCGAGCCTGAAGATCTTTCGTTCTCTTACCCAAGTCCACTATCTTATCGCATGTCACGGCGCGAGTCGCTTAAAAAATTCGCGGCAGGATCTGTAACGCGTTCGCTGTAAGACTCGAGAAATAAGACGCGATTTTTAGCGATCGCTATTTTTTCGCGCTCATACAAAAATCAATGACTCTCAAGTATTTTGCTATAAAGGACGCATTTTATTATAGTTTATTTTGTTCTTTGCTCTTCTTGTTTTTATTCTTCTCACACGTGTATTCTTTCGGAAAAATTCTTTTGTATTCTGCACCATTCTGCTGATCATACAAGATGGATCACAGGATCCGCTAGTATGGCTTCAAAATGTATTATCAAATGCTTTCAGATAAAGATAGTTTAGACCAAAAACGGCTGTTAAGTGACGGCATCGGTGAATATCGTATGAACCGCTATTTGTCAGAGTAATTTGACTTTTTTAAACAAAATCTTCGACCCTTTTCAGTGTGAATCTCAGCATTTCATTCAATGAATTTGAGTACCATACACTTTTGAAGTGCAGCCGTGTCACTATAGCAGGAGCACTAAAAACGTCAGGGTAAAGACCATCCTTGTCTACTTGTAATGTTCTCTTACCCAAGTCCACTATCTTATCGCATGTCACGGCGCGAGTCGCTTAAAAAATTCGCGGCAGGATCTGTAACGCGTTCGCTGTAAGACTCGAGAAATAAGACGCGATTTTTAGCGATCGCTATTTTTTCGCGCTCATACAAAAATCAATGACTCTCAAGTATTTTGCTATAGTTACTATTTCTTCGCGTTTTCCGTCTAATATCAGTAAATGAGCCACGCAGTGGCGGATCTAGCACTACGGTGGTCCGACGACCGCCGCCCCCTCGCAAATGGAATTCTAATGCAAGTACACTACCAGACTTCCTTAGAAAAAATAATCATACTACCCCGGACGACATCGTTTAGAAATCGACAACCCCGTCTGTAGAATCCTGGAGCCGCCCCTGGAGTCACGTTTACCGCGAACGCAGACGACTGGCGTGCCCGACGTGACTACGCAAGACTATATTGGTCATGGCGTAAGCTATTATTAAGATGTGATAAGATTTTGAAAATTTTTCGAAAAATCAGTAAGAGTTATAAACCAGGCGCGTAAGCAAAACAAAACGGTGAATAGGATTTGCAAGGGAGGTCGCGGTCGTAAGAGAAATATACGATCACGACATGATAATTTTTCTTACAGCGATCACGCTCGGATTGCGAAGTCTTACCAGGACCGCTAAAAAGTCTCTATTGTCGCGTCGCGTTGGCGAATTACGAGTTTTTTGTAAAATAAGAGTTTTGTCGCAAACGTGCCGCGACGATAGCGGCTTCTTAGTGATCGTGGTGCGACTTCGCGATCACTATAAGAAAAAATGAGCGCGTCGCGATCGCGAATTACAAAATTTTTGTAAAATAAGAGTTGGTCGCGAACGCTCCGCGACAATTGCGGCTTCTAAGCGATCGCGGCGTAAATTGCGCGATCCGCGCCCCGAATCAAGCAAGAAAGTGGACTTTGGTAGCGTACTTCGTAACCTAAGCACGATAAAAAGTCGTGAAGCGGACGCTTGCATATAAAAATTAGTTGCTATCGATTAATCGGACAGTCCGTCCATTGCTCAATTAATTGGCCAATGCAGAGGTCGCTTCAGCTGGTACAGGATTTCAACCTGCATGCAGCTAGATAAATGTACCTTTTAATCTACTTAATCTAGCTGTACGCGGGCACTGCACCTATTTTTGCACCAAGATTTTCTGGCTAACTTATTCTTGCTTGGGAAGCGCCTCAAGAGAGTATCATCGGAGTGTGCCTCGCTCTGTCTAAGTCTCTGTATTTTAGGAGTTCGCGGCAGTGAGGCGATTCATATTGCAACACCTAACATACTACGAAGAAACTTGTCGGAGCTTGCTAACAGGCTTCCTCGAGTTTCAAGTACTGCCTTAAGACTGTGATATGGCTGTCTCAGTTCTACTAGCTTTGTTGCCGTCGTTTACCGATGTCCGTTTGATGACCACATTACTTTTTTTATCGAATTATATACAACAACATTTTCATCATCTTCTACTAACAACTTATACGAGCCTTCATCATGTTCATGGTCATATGTGTTTGATGCCCAGAATGGACGACCTTTACTATCGTATAAAACCAAATTTCCGTCGTATTGCATTTTTAACTGTGTTGGACCAGTTGATGGTGCCTCATTCCATGTATTCGATGACCATATTACTTGTGCATTTTCCGATGGAAAAATTTTACTTCGGTATAAGACTAAATTATCATCATTTTGTAATTTCAAATGATAAAGTTGATTTGGTGACGAAAGATGGGAATTAGAATTTAATGTATGACCCGCACGAAGACAATTACTCTTCATTCTTTGAATTAAACAAAAAAAGAAGGTAGAGACAAACACAGATGAATAAATCAGATTGTAATTGTGTTACGCATATGTTGAGATGGTAGAGAGGGAGGTTTCTCACATAACTTACCATGTAGCGATATGTGCAATGACGCTAAAGCGTCATGTGAGGGCTTACTGAGTCTTTCAGAAAAAGTACAGTGCCTTTATACTTCGTTTCAAAGTCTCGACGAATCGTGTTTCGCTTCAAATATTTTCTCTCATCAAAAAGAAAAACAATTGTCCTCTCAAGGAACGTTAAATCATACCTTCGCGACTAAATAACAGTTAACCCTCGACGGCGCTAGACGGGAATGATACCATATTCTGTGTCAGACGAAACCTAAGTGAAGTTTTTAATCTTCTTTATGAGTTTCATCGACTATCTCACAGCAGTCTGAACTTTTTCGGACATAGAGATAGCATCGCGAGGCAACAACTGCTAGCGGTGTCAGGGTATGATTTTTTCGTACCCTATACCCTATCCTATAAAACATTTCTCAAGCTGACCTTAACTTACTCCATAGACTTTCTACCCTATACCCTGACCTACCTATGGTTTTTCAAAAACTTTAAAAACATTCCTGGAAAATAGACACTTGGGTAAAAGCTGGAGATGTGTCACACCCGTGTGAGCCCATGACTGAGGCTGGTTTTATTTTAAAAATCTTATCAGCGCAGACCTATAGGTCTGAATGTGAAACTCATCATTGCGGTCTACGTCGCGTTTTTAAAAGTTATTTTCTAGAGCTTTTAAGAACTCTCGTACATTGCACGTGTAGGATATTGTATATTGCAAATAATCCGAAAAATCACTATTTTTTCCAGAAGGACTTTTTATTCGTCAGTCTTCGCTTCTTTTTCCTAAGTAAGTGAATACGAAAAACATCTGTTTTTACAAGCAACATAAAAGCGTTCCCGTGGATCGAAACTGTGACTTTTGAAAACGTCCACGGCACAGGGACTGAACCAAAAAGATTTCTTTTACTGCGGAATTGGGACTACATCTAAAATGCCTGATCCCAATTAGAAATTATGTAAGACTTGCGAACAATTGTTTCATCTTTTGGAAGATATTGGCAAACAGTTACAATTTCCTTCAAAATTTTACAAGCAGTCTGCATTGAAAAGTTCTTTTTATATTCTTACCTTACCTTACCCTGTTATAGTCGAACTCTGACCCTACCTTACCGTGTAACTTTTCAAACTGCTATAAGGTAGGAGCACCCTGCACATTTCTAACAACTGGAGCATACTATGAAAAAACTTGGCGCAGCCGTTATCAGGTCACCTCGAGTTTCAAGTACTGTGTTAAGACTGTGAGATATTACTGTCTCAGTTCTACTAGTTTTGCTGATGTCACTTACCGATGTCCATTTGATGACCACATTACTTCATTCGTCGAATCATACAGAACAACATCTCCATCATCTTCTACTAACAATTGATATGGTCCGTCTCCTTTTCCTTGTGTATTTGTTGACCATACCACGTGATTTTTACTATCATATAAAACCAAATTGCCATCTGATTGTACTCTTAACTGTGTTGGACGACTAAGTTGTGCTTCATTAACTGTATTCGATGCCCATAGTATATTTTTCGATATAAAATTTTTACCACGGTATAAGACTAAATTATCATCATCTTGTAATGTCAAATAATAAAGTTTATTTGGTGATGAAAGATGAGAATTAGATTTTAATACACGACCCGTACGAAGGCCATTAGTATTTTTTCTTTGAAACAAACAAAACGATGTCGAAGACGAACACATTTAAAGGATGAAATCACTTAACTACGATTTAGTAAGTAATCGTTGTATATTATTTGAATTTATTTGATTAATCGACTTGCCAAGTTTATTTCGTTTGTTCCAACAGGCCTCTCTCTGGTAAAAAATATGAAATGAAAGGAATTGATTCTCATAAGCACGAGTTTTCTTTCGCTCGTTCTGTATTTAAAAGAAAATGGCTATAACAATAGCCGAGAATCTTGATATTGTATTGACAAGAATCCTTTTTTCTTGCCTATATTCAAAAAAGAGACTCCCTTGTTTCTTTCTATTCAAAACTCTCTTAGCTCGTAAGACAAACTTTATATTTTCAGACAAAATTCGCTTAGTAGAAACTTGTGTGGCGGCAAACCTTGTCACCGTTTTTCAGACATATTCAACAGATTTTATGCGTTAACCACTTCTAGTCCCATCTACACACACATTTTTTTTAATATATTTTCTGTATCGTGCATCGAAGTCGAGGTAATTTTTCCTGCTATTATGTCTAAACGGGTTTCTCTTTGCCAATCTTTCTTTCACAAGAAGGTTTTTCCAAAAATAATATCGCCATCGTGCTCAGCGCCAAATTTGCAATCGAATGAGGTGTCCTACAAGCTACTAACTATTATTTTGTTTACTGGTGATGTGAAGGTCTTCAGAGGACCACGCGGGAGCCGAAAGCACTTTTTCTTTCAAAAACCTTCTAGTGGCACTTCATCCGATCGCAAATTTGACGCTAATTACAACGGCTAATAACAAATAAATTACAATTATTTTTGGTAAAAACATTCTTGAGAAAGAAAACTCGGCAAACAGAAGCCCGTTTAGGGCATAAAAGCACAAAAAACTTACCTTGACTTCTTTACGCGATACAGAAAAGATATTTATAGAAAATGTGCATATATCCGGAAGTAGAAGTCATTAACATAGAAAATCTCTTAAAATTCTCTTTGGACACGGACCTGGTCGTACCTTACTGCTGCATGCCTGATCGGAGTGACATCTGCACATTTTTTTATCATATTCATACGCAGAATTCATTTGTGTATTTATTCTGCATATCAACCCATCAAATAGATTATTTGGTAAAAAATAAGCCTTACTTTTCATTTTTGGTACGTCGTGTCATTTTTAACTTGTAACATCCCAAAAGTAAAGCGTCCGTAATTCAAAGGTTCGTAACTTTTTCATTTTGGTATATTTATACGTGGTTGGATAGAGGACATCGAGCTGAGTAAGAAAAAGGTAGTTTTAGTTTTTGAAAAATTTTTTTGAGGGTGAAAAGTTTGCAAAGTTTTGAAGGACCGATTTTGCTCAAAATCGCTACAGTTTCAAAAAATTCAAATTTTGCGTTATGTCTCTGCTTTCAAGTTTTGAAACTAACCTTTTGAATTCAGCATTGAAAACTCAGTATAGAGAAGATGTTTGATTGATCTTAAACCTAAATCTTCGGGGGATAGCGTTCGGGTTAAGATGTTGTCGGGTCGGGTCGGGTTCGGGTTAAGATGTTGTCGGGTCGGGTCGGATTCGGGTTGAATATTTGGCGACGCAATTTAAAATATAAATAGTATTTTTAGCTTTGTATTACTGATTGAAAGTTATCTCTACTGGAATTTCCAGTTGAAAGACTTGTTTCAGAACAACTGCATTCACTAAGTCGATTAATGATCGCTTTCTTTGCACATAAGAGAGTGCTTCCTGCACTGAAATCAATGGCAATACACCCCTTACTGCTTTTTTTCAATGTACTGTTTTAAACACCCGTACATAGAAGACTTTACTATAATGCTCTCTACTTGCTATCTTAGTATTAGGTGATACTGACTGACCAATGAGAAAAAGGATGTGGTCATCATCTCGGTTAAGATAATCTATTGACAAAGTGTACTGAGGAATTTTCAATAGATTAATCTTTTAAACAAAATGACCAATCAGAAGTCGTTCAAAAGTTTTTTTCTGAACTACCAGATTCTACAATATGCACCGAAAAACTTTTGTCTGACAAGGCAAGTCTATATTCTCATCTATATTTCTCAAACACAGTTTTCTGGTGAGACTGTTTTCATCGGGTCGGGTCGGGTCGGGTTCGGGTTCAGACGTTATCGGGTCGGGTAGGGTGAGGGTTAAGTTGTTGTCGGGTCGGGTCGGGTGCGGGTCGGCATTTTAGCAGTCGGGTCGGGTTTGGGTTCGGTTTTCTTAACCCGTGCAGGTCTCTACTACTATTCCTTACGTTTCTGAGCATAAACAATTAGAACTTATCCTCGAGTCCAACCTCGACTGGACGGCACATGTTGATTATGTTTTGCATAAGATCAATCGCTTAATTAATCTTTTAAAACTTCATACACGTGTGCTGTCTCGGAGAGCGTTGGACCTTGTTTATAAGTCAAATATTTTAAATCAATTCAACTATGCGTCTTCTGTCTATGGGAATACAACGGATAGGAACTTAGTCCGCCTTGAATCAGCTCAATATGCAGCTGCTAGTGCTATCTCCGGAGCTATGTTGTTTAGTTCAGCTGAGAGTGTTCTTCACCATCTAGGTTGAGAATCTTTGACAGCTGTTTTTAAACGTCACAGACTGACTCTACTTCATAAAGTTGTTACAAATAAGGCGCCCTCGTACCTCAAAAATTTATTGTTCGCTGCTCAAAATCCCCAGTCTTCAAGTTATTCCCTGCGTAGTCGAGAGAGGCAACTTATCCCTACCACTCGTTGTCGTTTGAATATGTTATACGATTCAATGTTATTTCGCACAACACGTGAATATAATAAATTACCTCTTGAAGCTAGGCTGAAGTTAACTGTCACCGGGTTCAAAGGTTGCCTAATGCCCATACAACCCAAGTAAAGATGCCTCCAATAGCTAATCAAGAAGCTGATATTAGCTATGGCCGTTGTCGCATAGGCTTTTCACAGTTAAAAAAACATTTGTATGATAAGAAAAGAGTGGATAATCCTTTTTGTTCTTGTGATAACGTAAGTGTTGAATCCCTTATCATTACTTCTGTTCTTCTCCTCTTTTACTCGATTTAGAACTGTTCTGTTTGCTGAACTAACAAACAAAGTCCCAAACCGTGTACTTGATCTTAAAATACTTTTATTACAACGTCCTATGACTATGCAGATGCAGCTGTAGTTGTTTTTTTTTAAAGCAGTTTGTGACTACATAGTCAGCACTAAAAGGTTTTCTTTTACGTCAATCTGATTTTATACGTACTCTCCACTTTATAAAGGATAAACACACATCTTTGCAGCAATTTTCACATTTTTACATTACAACGCTCCCAAATGATCATCATGTGCTTACTCTCTCTTGTTTCGTATTTATGTCAGTTATATTAAGGACGCATTTTATTATAGTTTATTTTGTTCTTTGCTCTTCTTGTTTTTATTCTTCTCACACGTGTATTCTTTCGGAAAAATTCTTTTGTATTCTGCACCATTCTGCTGATCATACAAGATGGATCACAGGATCCGCTAGTATGGCTTCAAAATGTATTATCAAATGCTTTCAGATAAAGATAGTTTAGACCAAAAACGGCTGTTAAGTGACGGCATCGGTGAATATCGCATGAACCCCTATTTGTCAGAGTAATTTGACTTTTTTAAACAAAATCTTCGACCTTTTCAGTGTGAATCTCAGCATTTCATTCAATGAATTTGAGTACCATACACTTTTGAAGTGCAGCCGTGTTACTATAGCAGGAGCACTAAAAACGTCAGGGTAAAGACCATCCTTGTCTACTTGTAATGTAAACAAATATCTAAGAACTAAGAACCAAATATACACTAAGCTGTCATAAAGCGGTTATGTACGGTTACGGTTAAACGTCGGACCTGTTATTTATGGTTACGGTAATCGGTTAATAACCGTAACCGGTGCATGCCTTTTTTCAATGCTGAACTCAAAAAAGTTAGTTTCAAAACTTGAAAGCAGAGGGATAATGCAAAATTTGAATTTTTGAGCAAAATCGGTCCTCCAAACATTTGCAAATTTTTCAAAAACTAAAACTATCTTTTTCTTACTCAGCTCGATGTCCTCTATCCAACCACGTATAAATATACCAAAAAAGAAAAAGTTACTGAAACTTCGAATTACGGATGCCTAATACCAAACATAATGAATTAAAGTCTGATATTTTCGAATTCTATTCGGTATAGTTTTCTCTACAAATCTATGTAAAAATCAGTCGAATCTAGAAACTTTCGCTTCCAGTGTCATATTACTAAACAAGGAACTCACTCTTAAAAAGGAAAGTCACATTTGAGGACCTCTTCATAATACAAGACTCCTTCCCATATTAAGAGATCTCTCTAGAATCGTTGTTTTAGAATCCATATCAGAAGACTCTCACATTTCATCATCTGTCTGCACCAGTTCCTAAAGAGATTTTCACCACTTTTTTGGAAGCTCATCCCAGCCTCAGTTATTACTAAATTTGAAGTCATATAGGCCAAAGTTGGAAATGGCTGACAGTTTTTCAACAACCCGCAGGCCTACCTTATGTGTGTGTGTACACTTAACTTTTAGTAAGTTGAAGTTTTTCTTGAATAATACAGTGGTAAAGTAACACTTTGTTCGTTTTTTATTATATTTTTCGATCCAACTTACCTTTCTTTCTGCGATTAAAACCTTTTTTACAGAACTGAAAAAAAATGTGTATTGTTATTATACACTCTCCTTGACTTCTATTTACATTTAATTAAGAGTAAATGTACTTTTGATCACCAAAATTTTCAACATGCATCTAAAACTTTAAATCCTTATTTTATTTTGTTTCTCTTTCGAATGGCGAAAACCGCGAGTCCTTCATATGAAAACTACCCACTTTTTATCCGCATTCACCTAAGTTTGAGCTTGAAGGAAGACAAAAAGTTCTCCTCGAAATTTTTGCCTGAGGTCCCCCTCAGGTGTTTTGCCTAAAATTTAGGACGAAACTTTTTTTTCCAAAACGCGTCGAATTATATATCATTCGATGCAGTTTTTTTCGTAGATT